GACAGGATTTATCTCCCCTGTGATTGTCGGTGTCATTACAGCTGAGGTAATTTGGGGAATTATTTGATATCTCGCAATTTCAGTTTAGATGTTCTTATTTAATTTCTATTTTTTTCTCCTCAAAAAATTCACTTCTTGGTGCCAACAGGAGTAAAACAAAATTACCATTTAATATCATTTTGCAAATATATGACCAATGTTTTATATTACTAATTCAAGAATTCTTAATAAAACACTAATTATAAACTCGTTTTTTTTTGTGTGTAAAATTATAATGAAATCTTTCTTTCTGTTATATGACTAAAATTTCACATTATATGCTGTATGTCTGGTAGACCTATCATTAAGTTTTATTTCATTTACGGTTATGCATTAATTTTGGTGTTGTTCATATATTTTGAATTTTTATTTTTATTTAAGGCATTGCCTAAAATTGTGCTTTAAAAATTTAACATTATTTGTTTGTTTTCTATCACCAGAATCAGACAAGGTCAGAGTGGCAGATTGTTTTCTACATTGCTGCTGCTATTTATGTCTTTGGTGCCATATTCTATGTTATCTTTGCATCTGGGGAACTCCAGAGTTGGGCCCAGGAAGACCATGAGGACAAAGGCACAGAGATGACCCATAAAGAAGAGAAATACAGAATGTTATCAGACAGGACAATCGACGCATAAATATGCCTCCAGTTAAATAGTTTTTTTCTTTGTAAAGCTCCAAGCATTATTTAATTGCCAAGTCATGTTATTACTATTTACAGTTGCTATGTGAGTTAGATATAGATATTCGCGAACCAAATTTTAAACAAACAGCTGACAACAATATAAGAAATTCAATCATTAAAACACAGTGACAATCAGTTGGGATCAATGCCTATTTGTCAGCAAAACCCTTGTCATAGTCAAAATTAATATTAGGCTGCACAGTCAATGAAATTATTCCTACCAGCAATAATTTGATTTATTTTTTAATCAAATGACCATTGTTGATGGTTATAAGATAAGGATTAACACATAAATTTTGATTGATATGGAAAAAGTCATCAAAATTGAGCTATGCCTTAAATTAAAATCATATCAATTTCTACATTATAATTTTAAATTATTTTGGGGGGTTAGCAGAGTTTGCATTTCATAACATTATTGATGTTATTTCTCTGTATTTTTTAAAAAACTTTTATTTAAAAGTTTAAATTTGTTAGCCTTTTACTGTTTAAAGAAAAGTCCTGTATCTTGAAAAATTGTTAAAATGTCTTGAGTTGTTTACTGTGCTCTGTTCTTTGTGATATTTTCATTTCTACTGTTAGCTGAAGAATGCTTTATGCCGAAACTTCCTTATATTTTTTGTCCTGTTCTCTAATTCAAGCTTCCACATACCTTGTTTTGCTATTTCCTTCATTTACTAGGCTTGAATGCAGTCCTTTAATTTATATTTTAAAATATCCCCTTTGACTGATGCTAAAAAAATAAGGTTTAGTCCCTATCCAGAATGAGTGTTTCAAAATAAAGCTTCTTATTTATGTTATCTATTATAAAAATTCCTGAGTGGATGTTGTCTGCCCGCCCTCATTGCACCGCGCGGAACTCCAATTGTGTCATTGTCAACAGTTTGTATTTTTAGGTAAACATGCCTTCTAGAGAAACAGTTGCCATCATTCCTATTTTTGTTCTGATGGATCTATTTTTATTGGTTGCTGTGACAAATAAGAATGTACTATTCTATGCCATATTTTGACAATGATTCATTTATTAGCTTACTGTTTGTTAAACACTGAAGCAAGATTTATATAATTGGAATTTGAGATGTCATTTGCAAAAACAAAAAATTCCTAAAAGAATTGTCAATTTTTTCCCCAGCAAATGACAGCATCAGTCACCAGCTACGCTATATAGTCTATTCTACTAAGCATTGGTTTGATATAGAGAGCGGCATCTGGATTTATTGCATGATTATGCACCTCTTCCCGTGGGTTGCCCCAGCTAGTAATATAATAAGCTATGAATTTTGTTTCTGCCCCTTTATTTGAATGATTTAAATAATATTCTGCATAGGTTTTTTAAAAATTGATCACTGTTAATAAATATTATTTATGCAAAAGAAAAATTTACACCAAGGAAAATTGACGCTATAAAATGTTATATTTGTAGTCTATATGTTTTTAAACATCGACAAAGATTTTCTTTAACATAGTATATCTTTTTACCATGAACATTCCCTGTGCTTTATTTTTTTTTTCCATCCTTATATTGTGTTCAGAAAAGCATGAGTTGCGTACCGACCTCTTTATCTTCACTATAACTAACGTCATGATCTCCACTTAATATTGGTGCTGGATTATTATCCCATATTTCAGAGATTCCCAGATGATGACATCTCTGACTTTCACATACATTAATGTGGTACTCATTGATGGAATCTGGATGGGTGAAAAGCAACAACACTTTTTGGCAACCATGGGACAAATTACATATATTATATTATTAAATTTGTCCATACTTAACCCAATTATCTTCCAGTTGTTGATTGGCATGCTTATAATTTATTTTAATCATCCTTCTTACAAATCTTAATGAGGATAGTTTTAGAGTGCTATAATGCAAAATGCATACGCAAAAGAGGAAGTACTCAATTATCTCAGATATTGAGGCATTATTTCTTTGTTAATATTTTTTAACATTTATTTCATCAATTTTAACATAATAATGTGCATTTATTTTTAATTTTTGTAAAAGCACCCAAATAGTGGGCTTTCTGTTAAAAAAGATGAAAAAAGTGGACTACTTTGGTGTGAGGCCTAATCATTTAACTGCACAAAATAGAAAAGTGCTTGGATACAATGTCCTTATTTTAACATATTTATATATTGTAAGTCATCTCTACAATTTTACATGCAATGTTATCTACTCTATAATCTTATTGCTTTTTATGATAGGATGGACATTTGCTTAAACCTCTCTTTATATTTCCAGAAGTTGTTGAAAAATATCTTGTATTTGTGAGGTCGTCATTTACCATATACAGTTGGATTAATATTTACTGGACTTTTTTTAGTTTATCCAATTTTTTAGATTGATGTGACTTATTGCTCCTAATTTATTGATTTTTAAAATATGTGGATTGTCAACTTGTTTATTTGATGTGTTTGGGTGATAAAATTATATGACATCATATATCTGTTTACTTGTCATACTATTTACATTGATTCATGACGTGGACATGTGTCTAAAGAGGATTCAATGAGATTTCATCAATTATTTTAGAGCTTGTTGACCATTAACTTTAACCTATTTTTTAAAAACTAAGTCTCATTTATTATATACTTTTGTTTATATCATTTAATCATTTTTTTCCCAGCTTGATTCTATTCATAGATGCTTTTGAGGGTAAGGAACTTAATTAATGTAAATATTATACATAAACATTTGTATTGTTTCATTTGGCTTCATGAGCTTTTGGTTCATTGTTTTATAGCTTACTTTACTTCTCTTGCACCATATTGTTGTCAATGAAAAAGCATACTAATAATTTTTACCTTTATTAACCTATGACATTTAGTTGTTTTATGTATTTAACGTTGTAATGAAAATCTATTTTATGTTCCTTTTTGCTGCTATGGCAGAAAATTTTAGTAAAATATTTTTAAAAATAATTGATAGCAATGGAAGAATTGATTATTCCATCTCTGCTAAAAATGTTCCTTGTTAAACATTGGACCTTTTGGTATACACCCTGTTAAAGTTAAAGATATATTAGTAACAGATATTTTAAAAAAAAATATAACCATATTTAATATGTATAGTCCATCAGTCTGAGCATTAGTTCAGGTGATTTAGAAAAAAAAACAAATTCAATGCATTTTTTTTATTGTATAGGCTTAAATTGCTCTGAATTAAAATGATTTTTATCCACTTTGTTTCCGAAAAAAGTTATTTTAGTTTGTTAAAGAGTTTAAGCTAATGTGAAATAACCTTATTTCAAAATAAGCAAAAATCCATATATCCTTATTCATGTCTGCTATCACTTTTATGTCAATTATTTTGATTTGATTCATGGAACATATTTTTGATTCCCATAAATATTGCAGTAATATGACTTCTTACAATAAAAGAAAATGACAATATTTTTAATTTTCAGTGGCTGTACAGAGGCAAATTTGAATACGGTCCCAGTTTATGGAGCTTTTTTGTGTTCTTAAAATATTTCATTATTTAGTAATTAATACATTTAAATGAAAACAAAATATTTATTAATTTATTTTTAAATTAAAAACCTGTTATTGTTAACAGAATAATTTAAAAAAGATCCAGGTGTTTTATATTATTATGTCGATATATTATTAAAGTTTGCCTGCCATTAAAGAATTTAAAAAATGTCTTAGAATTGTAGTTTTAGAATCATTGTATTTTTGATTGTCATTATCATCATGATTTGGAAATATTAATTCAACTTCAAAGAAAAGCTAATTCCAGGTTGTAACTAATAAGAGAAAATTCATATTAGTTATGTGATAGAGTGTTTATAGCTTGAAGTTGATTTGTTATTGGGTTATCTTTTACAGATAATGTCATGTGAAATTAATGGGTTTTGTAAGTGGAAGAAAAGAAGAAAAATGCTAGAAAAGATTTACGTCTAAATCTAGAGTTATCTGTGTAGAAAGAGACAATGGGATTCCATGTATTTTAATTGGGTGCTGCTGATATCAGAGTTAACGATAAATACAATCTAGCTACAGTTGGACCAATGAGTACCAGAGTGAACAGTGGGTGCCGCTGATATCAGAGTAAACAATAAATACAATATCGCTACAGGGGGGGGGGGAGGGGGGGGGGGGGGGGGGGGACAGATGTCCCAGGGCGCAAGCTAGTTAGGGGTGCCAAAATGTGCTTTGATATTATAGTATTGGTAAAAATAATGGGTTTGAGAGTTATAAAGAAAAGGGGGCGCTTTAAAATGGATCTTGTCCCCGGGCGCCAAACACCCTTGCTACGCCTCTGGTTGGACCTATGAGTGCCAGAGTGAACAGTGGGTGCCGCTGATATCAGAGTACATTATAAATACAATGTAACTCATTGGTGAATTTGGACCAATGACTACTAAATGAACAGTGGTTGCCAGAGAGTGCACTGGTGTGGCCATTGAAGATTAGTTTTAACCAAAGTGTGTCTGAATGCCCACGTGACTGGTTTGTCCCTGAGAGCAGTAAGTGTAATGATTCACATTAATTTCTGTTTGCTAGGAGCAGAACAACAAACTACTCTTGTAGTTTCCTTTCAGATTCAGCCTTTGACACCATAGTCGATAAAAGTAACAATCTAATAATTTTGAAATGCAGTATTGAATTAAGAAATGCATATAGCTAGATAATACAGAAATGTATATTTCCAAATGATATTTTATCCATTTTTAGATTTTGATTCTTATACAGTATACAGTTTAAGAAGCACTCAAGTCCTGACAACAAATTTTCATCAATTCATTGAAATTAATAATAGCCTCTTTTTTTTTTGTCTTTTTATTTTATTTTGAATATCATATTATGCTTAAAAGGGGATTTAAAAGGCATTGTAATTGTAGGCATTGAATGCAATAAATTAATTTACTATTTTTAAATTTACAAAACAAACAGGAGATTAGGGATCAACCCAAACAGCATGTGCAATGAAATAAAACGTTTAAATGTGTGCACTCAACAGACAAGAGTGTGCACAAGACAAAGCTTACACTTACAGTTTTTACCATCCCTTTTATTGATTGATATTAAGGAAGTAGCTATCATTCATACAAAACTATAATTAAAATAATTCTTATTATAAACCAGAAAAGTTCAAATCTAATTGAATATTTTTTTTGAAAAACAAAAAAAAATTCAGCTCTAAAAAGTCATATGCTTGACTGGCCATTTACTTGAGTAGAAAATAAGCACCGGCTCCACCTCCCCCGCCACCAACAATCACCATGGCAATGCCAAGGCCAGCCATCGCACCTGGGGAAACAATAATGTATTTACAGCTAAGGATTACACATTAACAGCCACCGCAGTCTACAGATTAACACTCAGTCACCGCATTCTACAGATTAATGCTCAGCCACCACTATTTTCTGGAAACTGTTGTCTTTAAAATCGGCCTATATTAAATATTCTCACAATCTTTCGCCTTTAACATCATACTTCCTTGTAACACAACAGCTTCTGTTCCTCTCAGTAAACCTTAACTCCATACCCACAGCCATCATGCCTTTCAAAAATGCTTTTTTTTTTTTTTTTTTTTTTTTTTTTTTTTTTGGGGGGTATTTTTTTTTTTTTTATTTTTTTTTTTTTTTTTTTTTTTTTAAGTTTTGGGGGACATTTATATTTATTTTATACACTTCAGTAAATTTTTGGAAAAGAGTGTTCTTTAAAAAGTATTTTTTGTATATTATTTATTTTTTTATAGGTATGTATCTACAGGGCCACACCAACCTGCAGAGTAACCATCGTCGCTAGAAGAGGAACCTCCTTGGTTGTTGCTGGAAACTGATTTACTCTTTCTGACTGGCAGAGGCTGTTTAGAAATGGATTTTAAATAGAATTATTTTATGATCATACGTTGATCATAAATAGATACTCATGGAGAAAGGCTTGGGGCATGGGTAGGGTTTGGAGAATCAGGGTTGGCGAAAATAATGTTTCATCATTATCAGCGGCGCCACAGCCCATGTAGGACCCTGGCCCGCTCCACCACACTTTTCCATTTAGATCGATCCATGGTTTTCTGCCCCCATGCGCGAACCCCCAACTTGTGTAAGTCCTTCTATACATCATAGATCCATCTCGGTCTTGGTCAACCAGTGAGTTGTCTGCCCCTACGTTTCTGCTTGTATGTCACTTTTGCTGCACTACAATCTGGCATCCTTTCAACATGTCCTGTCCAGAGCAGTCTGCCTTTTTTTTTTGTTGAAACTATGGGTGGGTCTTTGTACAATTGATATAGCTCCTGGTTTGTAAGGATTCTCCAAATGGAAATAATGGTTCCTTTATCAAATAGAATTCAGCCCTTGACAACCAACATAGAGAACGCCATGAATTGTCGTTCTTTTGAAGAACGATGTTCACCTAAGTTAGTTATGTGTCTTTTAGAGTTCAATTTTTTTGGCTGGTAACTAAAAAAAGAGAAAATTATTTGGTAATGTTAAGCATGGACGAGTGGTAGAATAGTTAGATGCTCAGGAGACTGCCAAGAGAGATGAAGAATGTTATAAGTTATATAAAGAGAATGCAAAAAAATGGGGAAACCCGTAATGATGGTTTCTGATACTAATTGATTGGAAGATGAGTGCAAAAAAAAAATAAAGACAATGTGTGAAAGGATTAGTGTATAAATCTGTAGCTACACACCTGAGAGATACTGTTAGTGGTTGAGTTAAAGACGTTCACATAAAAGCTGCCACCGTTGACGGCAGTCTGCAGGTTCAGGGTGGCCTGTTGGAGTGTCACTGTGGGGGGTGGTGTGCCTGAAATGTCACCGGCGTACGGAGGGGCGTCAAGCAGCTCGAATTCTATGATAGCATCGTTTTGATCATAGTAAACCTGGCGATGAGTACAACATACAACATATTTGATGTAGCACTTAGATGTTTTGATAAAAGAACCAAACAAGAGCAATGCATGTTTAGAGCAGATAAAAATATAAAATATACCATCACATAATGTTTTCTGAAAAAGACAGTGCTATATAATCATCCGAATACCAATGAAATAAACCAACATATGTTTATACAACAAAGTCAGAGAAAGTTATTGACCGAAGAATATACAGTTTGGCCTTGGAATTTGATCGAAAATTTCTAGCTAATTTCTGTTCAGAATCCAAACGCTGCTTTGGAATTTCGAATACCCATCACATACATGTTTGCCCCCGATTTAGTGTCAGAGTGGTTTTCATCTTGTCGTTCTCATTCGATTGTTTATGATGTTAACACAAAAAGTGTGTAACTTTTTATTGAAAACACCTCAGTTATTTATATTTTATTAAAAATAAACCAAACAAACGAAAAACACTCCAGAAAACATTGTTCTTTTAAGACTCTTCATAGTTCCATAGTCTTAAAACTTAGTTGCTACAGCGAAAGCTTAAAGGTAAACAGGTCTGCCGATCACGCTATTCATGCCAAATAGTGCATGCATTTCCCCAGCGCTCTGGCCACCCATGCTGTCGGAAGTTGTAGTGAAAGCATCTCGTGTGAGATTTGTTGATAATTTTATGCTTTTGTGCTCATTTATTGTTTGTTTGGAATATATGAACAACTAATAGTGTATTGGCCATGGGTGCTAAAGGATGTAGTGGGGAAAATGGGAGCAAGAGGACAGCTGTTAGAGGTACATTTGAAGTAAAGAAATATGTTATCGCTAAGAATTGCGTGAGGGTGGTCTCGATACTATGTTAGGGATGACAGTTTGTACAATTTTGAAAAGTAAAGAATCTATCAAAGCAGCTGATGAAGTAAAATGGGTAATTTCACTGACTTCTACGAGATCAAAATTTATGGAGGAGATGGTGAAAAGCTAACAGCTGGTTGCAGGGGCATCATTTCAGTTTTTTCGTGTGGCAAAACCAAAACTTGGCTTGTTAAGTTGTGTATTACTGGAGGTGCCACAGTACATAGCAATTTAAATTCTATAAAGCCTATTTAGTCTCTTTTTCTAACCCAGTTAAATAGAAAAATTACGTCGACCTAAAAAGGAGAAGAAAAAAAACAAGCAATCAATTACAGGCGGTAGTGATAAAAATATGGTAGTCATCAAAATGTGGTAATCATCAAAATGATGTAGCTATCAAAGGATGGTAGTCATCAAAGGGTTGTAGTCATCAAAATGTGGTAGTCATCAAAATGTGGTAATCATCTAAATGTGGTAGCTATCAAAGGATGGTAGTCATCAAAGGGTGGTAGTCATCAAAGGACTGTAGTCATCAAAATGTGGTAGTCATCAAAGGGTGGTAGTCATCAAAATGTGGTAGTCATCAAAAGGTTTCAACTATCAAAGGGTCATAGTCATTAAAGGGTGGTAGTCATCAAAATGTGGTGGTCATCAAAATGTGGTAGGCTGTATACAAGAGACAAGTTTTCTTGAGTTTTACTTACAAAGAGGTGTTTGACCAACGTATCTTATTTCCATGCAAAATTGTTTATATTCAGTTGCATTTTAATGGAGATATATTCATTTTTTTATACTTGGCATGTAAAATCAATCAATCCCATTCCATATCAAATAACTCTGTAGATTAGTGTTACCTACCTGTAGATCTACAATACGGATGTCTCTTACTTTAGCAGCATCAGCAATCAACTTGACCGTGCTCCACTTAAACATTTCCAAGTTGGTGTTCATTACGCTCTCTTTCGCTCCTATAGTATTAGTCATGAAAAATAGGTCTAATCACTTATTTTATATCTTGTTAAACCTACCAGCTATTTTATGTTTGAAAATTCAAAGCCACGAAGGTTGTAATTTTGGGAAAACTTTATTTTTTTCCTACGATCCTTTGGTTTTCTACAAAAATGTACTTCAATTCTGATTAATTCGATTAGCTTCAAAACTTTTTACTTCAATTCCTGCTGTCAAAATGCATATTTTATGCTAATATTCATGACAGTGAAAACAAATTAAAATGGTAAAAATTAAAGATTTCTTTTTATTAAAATAAATTAGAAGATTTTAAAATTATATATTTCATCTTTGCTTATTTCGTGTAGTATAATTTCAAACTCTTAAAATTGTTTCATCTTCTGAGCATGAGAGGAATACAAAACTACAAGATGACTTACCATCTACTACCAACTGGAAATAGTTGCTCTGTTTATCTGGGTAGCATGGCCTTATATCTAAGACTCCGTACATAATATTTGTGTAGTCTACATGATAGATGTTCATGTCAATGCTGTCGGTTGACTACAAGAAATAAAACAAAAAACCAACTTGAAAAAAATAAATTACAGCGGCTTGATTCTGGAATAATACTAAAAAGCTCTTAGCACCGCTACTAAACAACAGAAACGCTAGTAGTAGTATACTAATCACCATGTCAATTTTTGCATTGAAAAATCAACTTAAATTAGGGAGAAAAACCTAAATGGGAATTGAACTATTTTGTGTAATGGATCATTCAATCTGGGTTTTTGAAACACTTTTTCTAAATTTAAATTAAAATAATATTTTCTTTTGTTAGCATAACTAGGTCAGGAAATACATTTAGAGCAGTTTCGTACATTACAAGGGGGAGGAAAGTAAAAATAACAAATACTTACAGTGCCAGACCAGGCCCTAAACCTGAGAGGTATTCTGTACTTGCCATCGGTGAAATATTTAGAACCGTCGTTCCATGATGCAGTATCTTCCTGAGGTTACAAATGTATTTTTAACACAAAAAATATAAAAATAAAAAAAAACATAAATAACACACATTTTGAAAAACTCACACCTTTTCTCTGTTTCATCGTCCTACTTCTGGGAAATGGTATTTGTTTTATAAAAGGCATATTTAAGATCCAAAACATGATAAAAACACGCAAGTGATTCAATCAAATTTTTTTGCGTAAAGCCAAGGTACCTGTGATTTTTTTTAAAGCAGTGTTCTCCTAGCCTCCCAATCAATGTGGTTAGATTGACACTATTTTATACACAATCCGCAAAATAACGGTAAACAAATATAATGCTATTTTGACATTTTTTTTATTCCCGAAGCTAAATAAAGCAGACAGTCAGATACCTTACACGAAAGTTCATAAAGTTCATAATTCAATACGGGTACTGAGATTTCAGACAATCAACATGAAAATAGTTTATAAAGTTCCGATCCCGATTTCTATATGCTTGAGGCCTTCTACTAAGAAGATGTGACCAAGACCAGATTAACCTTTGTTTAAGATAGGTGATGGACTCTTGGACCATAAGGCTTAAAGGGCCTCTGACCCATTCATTGGTATTTCAAGTTTCCTAGAAAGTAACAAAAGTCAGGACTAAGTTCTGAGAGATGCAAATGATGAACCTATACATGGAATCTATTGTTTAAAAAAATGTATATATATTTCTATTGAAGACCCTATGCTCTTCAACAACGAGGCCAGATCAAATCTCATTAAGATGATGTATTTCAGATCTATTTGCCAGTCAGAGATGCCATGGAAGAATGTATAAAATATTTACATAAACTGTTCAAAGCATATCAAAGGAACATTGATGATGACTTAAAGCCCTACATAAAGTTGAATTTCCACATTTAAATATTCTATATTCGTTTTTTTATGTCCTAAATATTTTTTTGTGCCACTGACAAGTGACTTTGATCCCAGTTATCCATGCAGCCTACAATAAATACTGTGTGTGTGTGGGGTGGGGGGGGGGGGGCTGCGCGTCCAATGATAAATCATCCTGATAATTTCTATAATTAATCATTTGCTAATGTTTACTCTTTATCTATAAAAATAGACCATGATGATGTGTGTGCTCAGAGGCCCAAAGGCCTTCAGAAGGTTTACACTTACAGCCTACATCTGCCTCCTAACCATTGTGTCCTTTGTTTGATGTATTTTATGTTTAAACGATCCTACTGGGAAGAGTGGTTACTTATAGACCTTGATAACTAAGCTACCTACCTTAGCAAAGTACCACTCAATGACTACTTCCGTGGTTGGGTCCGTAATAAATGTTGTCTTAGTTACCCAGACATCAGCAGTTATCCCCCTTGCGATCCTCTGTGAAAAAAAAAGTCATAGACTTTAACAAAATGTATTTTATATGCGTTTGCTTTGAAAAAATAATTTTTGAAGGGCTACACAATATTAATACAGTACATTTAAAAATAAATGTGCAATTTCTTTACCAATTTGGCCTGACACTGTAACAATTATATGCAATGTATCCATACATCGAACTTCCAACTTTAGAAAGGCCCTTTAAATTTAAGTAGCTCAGTGGTGTAGACAGCACGGGGGTGTGGACAGCACAGAGTGACACCATCTCAGGGGTGACACCAAATTGAAAAACTGCATATTTACAGAGCACACACGTAAATTGTCCACACATTTAACAATTTATGTGTGCTTTATTAAAAGTTCCAGGCTGATGCATGAAAAGAGGTGACCCTATATTTAGATCAGAAAATCACCGTTTTGACCATGATTCAACGCCGAATGAAGTGTTTGGTAACTTTCGTAAGTGACAGGAAGCTATATTTATGTAAATTCTGAGAAATAAAGCTTTCCATTGATTCCAATTACGATGTGGTCGGGCAATTTTAAGTACATGAATTGAATCAGTAAAAATTATGGGGGGTGGTACACCCAGAACATAGGTCGACTACTAAAAAATTCACCAAAAAAAACTTTTAAAGTTACAAGTGTCAAATTTTCACTGAAGCTAGAGGAAAATTCATTCTACCATAATAACATATAAAATAATAATTAAAAAGTGCAAAATAATAGTTTGCTTACATTGAAAAAAAAAATGATAAATGGGATGCTGGAAATTGGCATGTTAGACTAAAAAAATTAGAATGTTTTAGGCTCAAATTTATTATACTTTTTTAACCATTTGGAAATATTGATTAGCTTTGGCGACAACTAGGGAAAATGTAATTTATTGAATACCTTTTGTATCACAGCGTCCCTAAGTATCTTAATTTTGATATTTTAAAATCAAAATTTGATGGATGGTAAAATTTGTACTTATTAATATATTACAGTATCCTTAGTTCCTGGTGTAGACAAATATATACTATAGCATCTTGCAAAATTTCAAACAAATGGGTTGATATTTTAAAAAGTTATTGTTTTTTATGTGAATTAAACTTAAACGTCAAAATTTTGTGAATGAACGGGCAATAATTTTGTTCATTAAGTAAATAAATTATCTAATTTTAATAACCCTCTCAGAATGAAAGATAAGGATGTAACTTAAATTCAACTGTTCACTCTTCTAGCCCCCATTTAAGCCTTCTTCTGGTTCTTATAGCTTCTGAGGACTTATTCATTTGTTTATGTTCCTTCAATATCCGCTTAGCACCAATCATAATGAAATAATTGAAAGTAAACTGACCAAAGGAAAGCTGGAAAATCTTAGAGGAGCCTCCAATACTTTAGATGCATCATTGAAAAGAATGGTTGCTAAGTAAACACCAATATGGGCAGCTTATCCTTGTTTATGTGCCTTCAATATCCTCTTAGCACCCATCATAATGAAATAATTAAAAGTAAACTGACCAAAGGAAAGTTTTAAAATCTTAGAGGAGCCTCCAATACTTTGGATGCATCATTGAAAATAAGGGTTGCTAAGAAGTCAACACCAATGTGGACAGCTCTTAAACCATATTTGTTCTTAGGGCACATTTTCTATATAATACTATTCATAGATTTGTTCGCATTTTGGGTATGAATATATGGACATTTACTAAAAATGGCCCTAAAAATAATTGGATGGTAAAGGTCTAAAATAATTGGCCTAAACTTAATCTTCACTTTAATCTAGATAAGAATCATTTACTACATATGACATATGTCTTTCAATTTAATTTCTGACCTGTTCTGGGTAGGCAAGGCGTTCGTTGTTTCAAGATCACTAAACTTGGGTAGACCTATTTTAATTTTAGTGGAGGCCAAGGGTAAGTTATCTTCAACTTCAACTGACAACTATTCAATAATGTCAATAGTCAATGAAATGTCACCGTTGAAAGTGTCAAACTGAACAATGATTACAATGGAATGATATTGTTTTGATTACTTTATTTCCATTTAAAATATCCTCATTGGGTCCAATATTAGGCTTAGTATATCTATTTTCATGAATTTTCGTTGCTTTGAATTTTTGTTATCACTAGGCATTGTAGAAACAAATTATAAAAATATTAAGACAATTTTAATATTCACAAAAACGTTTTGATTATTTCTAAGGAGGCCGCCACATTTAAAGGACTGGTCATTGTATTAAACAAGTATTGGGGAGGTCATCATTGTTTTAATATCATTAATTCAGAAAAAGAATAAGGATTTTTATTTATTTTTTATTTTTTTTGATAAATCCTGATACACCCACTTCTAAAAAAAAAAAAAAAAAAATCATATTTCAAGAACTATTTAATCTAAATTAAAAATAATTAAAAACAAATATTGGGGAAGTTATTATTGTTTTAAAATCAATAATTCAGAAAAAGAATAAGGATTTTTTTTTATTTTTTATTTTTTGTGATAAATCCTAATACACCCACTTCTAAAAAAAAAAAAAAAAAAATCATATTTCAAGAACTATTTAATCTAAATTAAAAATAATTACACATAATTGTACAGAATTGAATACACTTTAATTAATTAATTTGATATCAATGGTTACTGCTAAATCGAAAAATGTTTTTTTTCCATTTTTTTTTGGTGTAAACCGCAACCCTCCCCCCACTTTAAAAAAAAATATTTTTTTTTTTTAAATTCTCTTTATCCATTTATTCAGTTAATCTTTACCAATTTATAAAGTTAACAAAATAATATTGTACAAAATTGTATAATATCTTTTAATAATATTTTTTTTTAAATTAAATATTTTCGCTGATTAGTCACTAGCACAGACCCTTAACATTAGAGAACGATTTCCATACCGCACAAAGTCTGTTACATGCTGTCTGTGATTTCATGTCTATCTGCTTCCTTTTTCTTTCGGTATATCTACTTGAGGAAGTTAATCTTACAAAGTAGTATCTGAAGACTAAATGCTTTACTCTTGACAAAATGGTGACCAAAAAAGAAGCCTTAAGATTGTTTCTGCACGAGAAGCGCTGTCACTTGGTGGAACATACTAATGAAAAGGCCCTTTTAAAATCAGACCAATGCGGAATTTCAGTAGAGAGAAGATCAAGGTTTAAGAAAAGAATGGCAGGAGAACGATCCACCATGGGACAATCAAGGCTTTCTGATCTGGCTATTACATCAATTGAAAGTGATATGGTGAAGGATATTGATTTTGAACAAATGATTGACACGTTGGCAGCTTTGAAGATCAGGAAGGGAACATTCCTATACATTTAACCCTTGACCCTTTGTTATAGTCCTATACATTTAACCTTTGATCTTCAATTAATTTTTTTTTTGGTCATTCTTATACCGTGCATCTTATTTTAACAAAAAGAAATCCATTGTGAAAGTCGGTGGAAGGGGGGGGGGGTGACACCATGAGTTTACCGCACCGGGTGACACCAACCCTAGCCACGCCGCTTACCTTTCCAATGTAATCGTATTTTGTCCCAGAGTTGTAGAAGAACTGGGCGGGAGACAATTTTATTTTCAATTAATTTTTTTTTTGGTCATTCTTTTACCGTGCATCTTATTTTAAAAAAAAGAAATCCATTGTGAAAGTCGGTGGAAGGGGGGGGGGGTGACACCATGAGTTTACCGCACCGGGTGACACCAACCCTAGCCACGCCGCTTACCTGTCCAATGTAATCGTATTTTGTCCCAGAGTTGTAGAAGAACTGGGCGGGAGACAACTGTTGCACTTTGCCTGACGTGGTCACGAAGTCAAAGGGTAGCGGCGTGTCGTCGGTGATGTTGACGGTGGTGCAGAACTGCATCTGGTTGTCGATTTTATAGGACAGGCCTGAAAGGTGTGCAACAAAAACCATTGACGTATTATCGTAAAAATGGTTTTTTTTCGCTCATAAGCTAACACGTAGTTGGTAAGGCGTGGCCAAGATCACCAGACGTAGTTAATCAAGGCGTGTCTCCAAGATCACCAACAAGCGCACGCGATGACCTGAGCTAACTCGTGCGTTAAAATAATTCCTAACTGTGAAAATGGCCGTGATACATTTAATAAAAGGATTTTTTTTCAAAATTTAAAAAGGGCGTGAAAAGTATTTCCCTTGTTAAATACATCATTTCATTTGTTAGACTTTTACTGCAGAATCTACAAATTCAAACTACACCAGGGGTTCTTGGCAATATTTCATGGCCGCATCCCCTTTCTATTACAAAACATTTACCGCGACAACCCCCCCCCCCCCAAAAAAAAAACAAAAAAAAAAAAACGGATAAAAAAAATTTTTTAAAATTATAAATATCAAAATTTTATTAATTATTAATAAAGAAGATATTTGACTCCTCGCGGCCTCATGGCCAATGAAAAATATGACGTGATATAAGTAAGCATTTTTTAAATTTACTAAATCTTTTGCTTTTTGTGATTTGGTTCCTCGCAGTTTTTGTTTTGTTTTTGCTTCAATAATTTCTGGGTCTTCGCGCGCTGGTTTAAACCACTGAACTTTCCATTTATAATATAGGCCTACACTTTGACCTATATTGCAATGGTAGATGCGCCAGAGAGAATTCTGAATATATACTTGTAGCCGAGTGGATGACGTAGCTTACAGTATAAATGAATTCACAATAAAACAATCAGGACTATAGCTTTTTTAATTAATTCTCTACTATGATGAAAACAAGAAAGAGGACACTATGAACTATGGAGAAGAAGCCTATGAAGAAAAAGAGAAAGAAGAAGAGAAAGAAAAAGAGAAAGAAAAAGAGAAAGAAAAAAGAGAAAGAAAAAAGGACAATATCTGAAAATAAACAAATAGTACAGGTTAACAATGTCCTGACTAACATAGCTAATAATAAACATGTTACATAACCACGTAATTACACGTGGCGACAACATATACTTAACTAGAAAGCATGATAAGTGATACGTAAGTAGTATTGGTTCATACACAGGGCAAAGATAATTATCTTGTACTACGAATGTTTTAACTATAAAAGAAACCACGTGCAGTGTTTAATTTGAAACACGTGCACAGTGTTAATGCTACACACAGAACCAGAGTGCGATGTGAGGGCTAACGTAAACTTTAAAGATCTTGAAGTTATAATAGTATGCCATCCAGGTATGGTGTCTATGTAAGAGGCACACATAGCGGGACAGTAAATACAATGGTATTAAGTATGACCACCGTTGGCTTGATACTTGTATCTGTCCATCGCTGTGTCTTGTTAAGACAACAGCAGATTGCAGAATGAATCATAATTATATTATATGGGATGTGATCCTCACACATGCACTATTTCCTATGTGAGAATTTAGCACACGGCAGGAAAGTTAGCCTATTACACATATTTGACGGACACTCGCTGGTTGTATACTGTTGTATCAATAGCTTATTTTATAAGCGCATTGCAGTATGTGTACCCAGAACGATATGCAGTTGTTTGTTACGCACAAACCCTGGTCACTGGTATCTATTTATTAATCCTATTAAATAATTTATTTAACGGTTGTATGTTAACCTTTAAAATAGCATGAGCATAAGTCTACACGCTGTAGGTTATCCTACACTCTATCCTGGTTATAAGTCTGAACAGAAATCTTCCAATGCTAACACTCAACAAGTTCCTACTAACCACAAAGAAATAAAAATGGCGTAATTGCCTCTACTTACAGAGCGTTCCAATGGGCCGCACTGAACAAAGGCACAATGCAGGTATGCTGACCAAAGCTCGAAATGACCCCTACCTCGTGTGCTCCCCTTTTTAAAACCGTGCGCGGACATATCAGAGAGCCCCTACGTCACACCTAAACCGAGTCGGTCTAAGTTTTGCCTTCTGGCCAGTTTCCTGGGGTAAAATGCCTAACTCTGGGGACTAATCCAGAGTAATAATTAAAATCTTTATCCACATCCCTAACGACTTATATGTAATCTGTGCAGTTTTGTCTTAGCTATCTAAGATGCCATTTTATATTTTTATGACTTAAATAGTTTTTAAGATATTTTAACTAGAAGGGGTGGGGACCACTATAAATGAAGACGAAAACTCCTTTAATGACTAAATATTAAAATATCCTCCAACGATGGAAACTTGTAAATATGCTAAGGTATAGTGAATAAAATCCCCGTCTTAACTAGATGTAATGTATAACTTAACACGCTAGGGTTCCTGATAAATAAATTATTGAATTTCTAACCAATGCGCACATCGTGGTATTTTATTATTTCCTCCCTATGCGCCGGTCGTATAGTGACCGTCCGGGGGGAGGGGGGGGGAGGTGAAAAGGGATACCTGTTACGCACCGCGCCAGTGCTACTACACACCGCGCGACCTTGAGTTGGGCGCCAGCCATGGCTTACGTAACGGGTCAAATAGTGGGTTGGGGCATACACTGCCACATACTTTTGAAAAGTACGAATCCATTATTCAATAGGAATAAGATAGCTCACATTAGCCGGTACTTTAAACTCTGCAATAAAATGCGACCTGATGACTAAAAAATTGAGTTTTGACATAAATATCAGCTAGCATCGTAAGAAATTTTTCGAATTCTTAACCAGTGATAAGGTTTTTATCTCCGCTATTTGAGAACAGACGCACCTCCAAAAATTTTAAAAAAACAACAACAAAAAACAACAAAAAACAAACAAACTAGGAGACAGTACCTGTACTGATATGAAAATATGTCTATCCTTCCTCAAAAGTAGTTATGAAGCTAGGGTTCTAAAATTCATTCTTTGGCATAGCTAGGGGTTAGTGCCTTCTGGGGTGGGCCAATTTTTTTTTCCCGACCCACTTCTTAAAAAAAATAGATCTTCAGTTGGACGACAATGCCACCCTTTCATATAATGGAAAAAAGTGCTATCCCTGGCCGCTCCTTCAGTTCCGACGTCAATACGTCATATTATCACACTAGGGCCGCTAAAAGCTATCACAACCCACACAGTTATCTTGATGGAAGCTATGCCTGGTTGATGCACTTACCCGTCACATAGTCCCTGATGTACGTGAAGTGATTCATGCCTCCACTTGTCCCCATGTCTTGTGGTGCTTGCGTCCTCATGACGACCAAGTTTTTATCACTGTCAAATATTTCCTTGGTGACGGCGGAAAAATAATTGTACATTCTAAATAATGGCAAAAGTTTTGATGTGTAGTTCTTGAACTAAATTAAAGGTAAGGCTAAAAGTACATAAAGCACGTTTCGTATGTAGATCACTAATCGCCAACTGGTGACCATTTGTAGGAGATTTTGCAGTTAGCAATTTCTCAAGTGAGTTACTGGTTCGCACTTCATTGGAATGAAAGTGGGGAAATAGCATATGGAAATTGTGTAATGTATCGCGGCGCTTTCGTAAGAAAGCAGCGGTGCACAGTTTGAGCACCACTGGATTACGCCGAACAGACAGCGGAGAAAACCCATGACTTATTTTTGATAAATTTACGGTGATTTCTTGTTATTGACTTGCTACGTCATTATAATTTAAACAAGGCCTGCACAACTCAAAATGTAAGGGTGGTCCGTAATACTTCATGAAAAACTTTTGCGGGCCGTAATACTTGATGAAAATCTTATGCGGGCTGTAATATTTTATGAAAAACCTATGCGGGGCAAAAGATAATAGGACATGAGCTAAAGCTATTAAGAAGATAATAATAATAATAACAATGAATATTTCGTTACTTCGCGGGCCACCAAGTGGGTGCTGGCGGGCCGTATGTTGTACAGGCCTGATCTAGACATTGAAACAGGTGGTTAAAAAAAAGTGGAGGGGGAAGTGAAAAATAATTTGTACTTACACATTTATTGGGTTGGGGGGGGGGGCAAAATGTACGCGTGAAACAAGGGGAGGCGGGGGTTGTTGAAATTTGTCCATTTGCATACGTAAAATATGGATTACCTGATACAAGATTTTAAAACATATTTATGTTATTTACAAAGAGTATACACCTGAGTCAGTTACGCAGCTAGATCTAGTTCCGTTCGGGGTGACACGGGCATTTTGCCGCCCCTTTCTTCGAAAAAAAAACAACTCTGCTGTTAGACAGGAATTCCATCCTTCCATATGAAGAAAAAAATTCAGCCCGGGGTGAATCGCCCCCTCCGCACCCCTCTTGCTACGCCACTGAATTGAGTGACATCTTTCTAGTGATCCTGTCTAAATCAAGTGGTTCTACTTATGAGTGTCAGTATTGTTGTTATACTTTTAAGACGCTTAGCTTTTCACTGAAACAGAAAGCGTTTCTTTTCTCTGTTACCCATTATAGATAAACTAGACTGTTACCCATTGCAGATAAACTAGTCTGTTACTCATTACAGATAAACGAGTCTGTTACCCATTACAGATACACTTGTCTGTTACCCATTACAGATAAACTATAGTCTGTTACCCATTACAGATAAACTTGTCTGTTACCCATTACAGATAAACTAGTCTGTTACCCATTGCAGACAAACTAGTCTGTTACCTATTACAGAGAAACTATTATGTTACCTATTACAGATAAACTAGGCTTCACTCAGCTAATAATAAAAATGTAGTAGAACTCAACGCACCTCGACGTACCGGACTGTTCCGTCCCTGTGATCGATATTTTCTCCGGAGAATTTGATGTGCGATGGTGCGCTTGGGAATGGCCTGTCAACGGCACGTCCTTGACACACAATGCCAGACGGCGTCTGTTTCATATAGTTCATTAGATAATCGCTGAATTATTTCATATGAATGAAAAGTTTCTAAACTATGATTAATAGAAATTAAAAAGTGTCAAATTTTTAAGTTTAATAAGAAATTTGTTGATTTTCTAATAACGATTACGTGAAATCTTTTGATCCAAAGATGTTTCATACTTTTATTTTTGGTCCTGATTAATGTCTTCAAAGCTACCTCAGTAATTTAGTAGGACAAAGTAAAGAAAAACCTGAAAAAAGGAACGCAACTAAACAACGAACGTGTCGGCAGGAAGCCTTCGTCAGAGAAAAAAAACAGGAAAAACGAATAAAATTAAAATTTAAAAATAGCACTTAGCTTAGAAGTAGTATCCGAGAGGGTAGCAAATGTTAACATGATTGAAGTATATCCCCTTATTACCCAGTAATTTACGGTTTTTGTTGTTCAAAACATCTTTAAAAAAGTGAATTTGAAATTCCAAGAAACTGCCAGCCTTGGTAATTACAACTTCTTTTCGGCTTCTTCCATGACGTAAATGCTATAAATAAATGAACATGAACAGAAAAAAAGTTAAACCTCAAATGAAAATGGCTCCACAGATTCCTTGTAGTTGAAGTAATTATAGTAGTGGTGAATAGGTACTGTGTTTCCATGTAGAGTCGCTGAGCCTTGAACTTCGATCAAAATAGGCACAGTCCCACTGCTAGGCCTTGACCAAGCTTTGGCTGTTAATACAACATTAAATTAATGAAATAATTGTATAGACATTTTTTTCTTGAATATCTTTTTTACCAACTGATTGTAAACAAGAACTGTGTTAAGGGTAGATATGTTCAAAGCCCGAAATCCGCAAAGTGGCTGTAAAATCAAGAAAACTTTCTTTGACTTTGACCGGAGAGATCAAAGTCAAAAATATATTTTTTTTTTGGATTTATCTGTTAGTTAGCGAAATGGCATGATGTGATCGGTTAGGTTCAAAGGAGTTGATCGACCAGGTTCAAAGGAGTTGATCGACCAGTTAAAAGGAGTTGATCGACCAGGTTCAAAAGAGTTGCTTGACCAGGTTCAACAGAGTTGATCGACCAGGTTCAAAGAAATTGATCAACCAGTTTCAAAGGAGTTGATCGACCAGTTCAAAGGAGTTTATCGACCAGTTCAAAGCAGTTGATCGACCAGTTTCGAAGGAGTAGATCAACCAATTCAAAAGAGTTGATCGACCAGTTCAAAGCAGTTGATCGACCAGTTTCAAAGGAGTTGATCAACCAGTTCAAAGGCGATGATCGACCATTTCAAAGGAGTTGATCAACCAGTTCAAATGAGTTGATCGACCATTTCAAAGGAGATGATCGACCAGTTTCAAAGGAGGCGATCGATCAATTCAAATGAGTTGATCAACCAGTTCAAAGGAGATGATCGACCAGTTTCAAAGGAGGCGATCGATCAATTCAAATGAGTTGATCAACCAGTTCAAAGGAGATGATCGACCAGTTTCAAAGGAGGCGATCGATCAATTCAAATGAGTTGATCAACCAGTTCAAAGGAGATGATCGACCAGTTTCAAAGGAGGCGATCGATCAATTCAAATGAGTTGATCAACCAGTTCAAAGGAGTTGATCAACCTGGTTCATAGTGAATGTTTCATTGCTGCCAGATTAAGTGTGAATAGTTTCACGAGCAGAGTGGAAGATTCACATCTGGAATAGGCGCTGTTTGAAAACACATGTTCTTTTCCTGGCTTGTGAAAAAAAACACCATCTATATTCAGGACAACTGCAAGATGGTTTTGCACCACTGACCCGGATGCCGGGAAATGCCTAGTAAAAGCATTCAGTACTTCTGCGGACCCGAAAAAAAATAGAACCGGGTCTGGGTGGAAAAACACCCAATTTTGTCTCACTTTCTAACTCGTGTTTCAACCAATGTCGAGAAATATAGAACCATTATATCTGTATTTACACATATTTTTAAAAAATAATTGTTATCGGAATTAAATTAATCAATATAATTCTCTAGATATGAATGTATCTTGTTACAGTCTGTGTGTTGACCTAATTATTTTCAACGTAGTGCTGTAGCGCCCACCTCTGAGCTCGTCCCTTTTTGTTTCAATCTTTGACAACACCGAGTTTTATGCAGTGATTGATATTATTTTTATAAAGTGCGTTACTTAAATGCATGTTTTTTTAAAGTAGATTTAGAAGTTCCCTTGCGGCCGCCATTTTGTGGCGGGCTATTACTAGTTAATAATAATAGAAAACTGACTAGCGAGTGGTGCAAAACTAAACGTAAGCTAATAAGCTAAATGAAACTACGAAAATTTGAATGTAATATTGGAATTTCTTTTAATTTAATCTTTGTTAACTATTTGTCTTAGCAATATGCTTATCTTTGGTTATGACACTGAAACTTTCAATTTGCAATAACTGTTTCTATTCATATGCTGACTGGCGGATGATACTGAAATATGCAGCAGTCGTTTAATGAGTGAAGCAACTGGCTCAACCGAAGGAAGGCTTGGATGTTATCGCCACCAGCGACCAGCAACTAAGAGACCGACAAAAAGCGATTTTTTTAGATTTCGGCCGAAACCGAAACTAAGCCAAAGGTTAAATATTACTTTTGGCCGAAACCAAAAGCTTAATGAGACTTTCGGCCGAAACCCAAACCGAAAGATTTAGATATTTTGACATTCGATGACGCATACATTCTGCCAAAATGCGAAAAATGATGGGGACAGTATCACTATCTATAAATATTATTCGCCAGCAAAGGTCAAACACCACCACCACCACGCAGGCTATATATAGATCCGCCAGAGTGTGGTTCAATAATGAGTACACTAGCGCTCAAAATATAATTCCCGATAACTACGCTAAATTATATATATATATATATATATCTATCTATCTATCTATCTATCTATCTATCTATCTATCTATCTATCTATCTATCTATCTATCTATCTATCTATCTATCTATCTATCTATCTATCTATCAACACCACCACCACCACGCAGGCTATATATAGATCCGCCAGAGTGTGGTTCAATAATGAGTATACTAGCGCTCAAAATATAATTCCCTATAACTACGCTAAATTATATATATATATATATATATATATATATATATAATAATAATAATAATAAAGTCAATTTCAAAAACACGCTTCATCCCCAAAGCTCGAAGCGCGGTACAAAGTCAACAAAAAATAAATCTATAATTTACCACATTTAAAACAAACGCAAAACTACAAAAACTAATTACAAGCATACAATGTCAAAGTCTTTCTAGCCATTTCAACCCTGAGCAATACAGCCGTTATGCATTATTGGAAAATAAGGAAGACAATCATCTCAGAAGGTGTTTGCGAAATAGATGTGTCTTTAAATCGATTTTAAAGGACAACAGTGTCTGGTTGTTTTTGAGATCGACAGGAAGGGCGTTATTTGTTTTGTAAAATAATGTATTGTTTTATTGTTTTGTTAAGTATAAATAACAGGAAGTTACGGAATTATGGGATGTAAGAAAATCGACAGTGTCCGTTGAACATTTTTCTCATTAGCACTTGCTACAATCATCTAGCTATTTAACAGCATCTTAATGTTGATTTTTGAAGTGGAAGAAGATCTAATGTGACACTTATATTTACTCTGATCTACAGAGATATTATTTTATTATGTGTTCGTTGATCAGTCAATAAACATCGTGGTGCTAATTCAAGTAGTTCTCTGGTACTTGTTTGGACAAGCATGGTAGCATGTAAATGTGGATGAATAGTGTAAGCAAAAATATTACCCACACATATATGATCGTTACAGGTTTAAAAGTTGTTGGGACATGAGAATGTTAATAGAGTTCATGGGCGTGAAACAAAAAAGTGTGCAGTGACGTATCATGGGGGAAGGGGTGCAGCAAACATTGGGATTCTGAAATGTGCGTTACTTGAGTTCATGTTTTGTCAAGTGACTTTACTAGATGGGAAGTTCACGTCGCCAATGTTTGGCGGGCTCTATGTAGTTTACATTATGTATATAAGAATTGAGATCATCGTTAAAATTAATAAATAAACATTTAATGAATATTTTGGCGTTACCATTTTAATTTAAAAGTAATTGTTAAATTTGTTAAAAATGTAATTTAAAGTAGAAGGTTAAGAGAAATCGAAGGGGGTGGGGGGAATTCATGCAAAATAGACCATTGAGTGCCCATTGCTTTTATAATGTAATTACAACGCTACAAAGACATATATCCACAATTATTATTGTGGCTCTAATATAGCCGACTGTCACCTAAATATCAGTTATTAAGGCTATAAAAATATCAACACAATGTTTCACGGTTATTGTCATACTAATGGTGTGTGCTTTCATAAATAGCTGGCAAGATATCGGTGTATTAATAGTTAGCTTAGTGCTAACACACTAGTCATTTCGTGCTGGTGGCGTAATTATTTCTTTCGGGGCCCAACCTCCCCCCCTACCCCCTATGATGGAGGAAAATAAATTTTTAAACCGGGTCTCTTAAAATTGTTGTTCTAACGAGTCTCAACGGAGAATCCCAAAAGTCATCTAGATTGCTGGCCAAAATCATGAAAGTAAACAGGTCTGCAGTAGGTCTACTACATAATTATATAACGAACCAGTGACAGATGCAAACGTGTGTAATGGCGTCAATAACCATGTTTATGAGCATGATTATGATTAAAATAAAAATAATAATGGAAATATTGCCATTCCCTAGGATTATTCAATATTATTCACCTTTGACATATGACAACTTTGATGAGCATGGTAATGATGAATCAAAAGAATTAATTGAATAAAGCTACGGTTACAAATTTTATTTTTGAAAAAAAATTAAAACAAAAAAAAAATGACTTAAATATTACCATTCCCTTAGTTTTTTTCCAACAAAACTGTTTACATTTAATTTTGTCTAGGCCTAATTGAAAATTATTTTTTGGAAATAAAGGACACGTGGGTCGTCATGCAGCTGTGGGCAGTTTTCGTAGAATATTGGTCATGTAACACACTATGACAGCAAGACGTCGAGCAGTAATGAGTATCGGTTTCCCGGCCTTGAGACAGACAATCTGACTTCTGGTAGATGACCGAAAATGTCAATCACTTTCGGCCAGATTGCCGAAAGTCTCAATCACTTTCGGTCGAAACTGAAATTAAACCGAATGTTAACTTTTTTTTTTTGTTTCAGCCAAGGCCGAAATTAAACCGAAAGTTAACTTTCCTGTTTCAAACGAAACTAGGCCGAAATTGATCAAATGGCAACTTTCGGCGCCGAAACCGAATCCCAAGCCGAAATTCGGTCGGTCTCTACCAGCAACACTGCTCATGTTTTCAGAAATGAGAACATTTTGAGCAACACAGATACAAACAATAGTATGCATAAATGGGAGAAAATTGTAAAGATAAAAATACCTGGAAAACAGTTTTGTTTGCCCAAGTCCCAGGAAAGGAGACAGACAAGCAAGACTTTATCTAGACTTACAAGAAAAATGATGTGTGACGTTGAAGATGGCACTTTGTGTACCAAAAGTCCATTTCTGACAAGAGTTGTAGACTTTTGTTTCCATACCACGAGCTGCCCCAAATCCCTGGCCAACCTCAATAATAGAACCACTGTGAAAAGGGACAAGGCACATTTGAAATTTTTGTTTAAAGTTGAAAGCACTCATACACATTAATGTAACAACGAATTTCTATTCAATGTGATATTGAAATAGGAATGAACTATTTTTTATGAAACGAAAAACTAATACAGTTGTATTATTTTATTATTGACATCCTGTAAAATTGAGTATCAACGTCAGTTGCAAGTCTTACCCAAAGCCGGATTGTCCCGTGAAATGGAGCACGGCTAGTGGAACTTCAATTTTACCACCTGTCTTAGAGCCACCTACTATAAAGGTGTCTGGCTGGGTGTTGAGATTTGGGAGCACTTTACAACTTCCTGCAACGCAAACACTTCAATCAATAATTTGACTGCTGCGTTAAGATATAATTTCCTATATAATTTGCTCAGATTTCTAAAAAATATTTTCTTCCAGAATTTGCGTCGTAGAAAAAAATATTGATTATTTCAATGTTGAATTTTGTTATTGTAAACTTAGCTTTGCCATTGTGAACTGGTTTATTTTTCAAATGATGCACAATTTTTACAAAAGTATGCGACGTGAAAATGTGATAGAAGTTGGCGACCAGTGTTGACTATTTTGATTTTTCTGTGTAAAATAGGCTTAAAACCCACAACTAACAAACTACGAATATTGACATCCATACCTCTTCCTCCTGTGGAGTAGTCAAAGGCCAGGATCTCGTTGTCATCAAAGTAGAAGTACATGTCTGACTTCTGTCCGTTTTGAAACATATTCAGTCGTATCATGTTCTGGTTGGTACTGTAGTACATCAACATGTTGGTGACCCGCCCAGTCTCTACGCTGACCGTCTCAATGTCGACAGAGAAGTCTGAGCTCATCTTAAGGGGACCTGGGTCTGCACCTGATCGTACAGAACAGAGGACATGATTAAAATAATGTCTAGAAACTCTTTGAAACAATTAGATCAATTGTGTGTAATCAAACTTCTGCAATTGTTCTGCTCTAGAAAGAACACTAAGGCGTCATCCAGTATACATTCAGTTTCATGGATGCTATATTATTTTATCATTGTTAAAGTTTCTAAACAAAGTTCTATGAACGTGTTATGAGCGATGCTTGTGTTTCTATGTGTATAAATTATTTTGGAATTACACCCAAATCGTCTAAATTTCTGGGTTCACTCTACGTGGCTAGAATTTGTCACATAGCGTAGTCTAATCTAGGATTTTAATCCATGAATAGGATGTGAACCCTGGCTTGACCTATTTAGTTATTTAAAGTATGTTTATACTATACTGAAACTTCAATTTGGAAGTGAACAAATACAGCTAAATTATTTATGTTCGAAAATACCGGATTGGCAATATTGTCTAGAGACTAATTCGCAACCTTTCATCATAATTGATTTTTAACACTTCAAACACCAAGCAGAGAAAAAAAATCAAAAACTAAATATTGATGTCGAAACCAACTTTGCAGGTGTATCATTGTTTAAGAGAAGTAGGTCAAGTGCCGAGAAATGACGAACATCTTGTGAATTTTTTATTCAAATTAATTCTCATATCCAGACTTTCGACTATGCGGCCTTAAATTTGCGTAAAATAAATTTCTTTTGTTCATCTTAGTTATTCGCACAAAATCGTGTGTGCTTAAAAATTAAAATCAAATAATATTTACAAAGATGAGATTTATTAGACACACGATACATGAAATGAAACTTTCTCGAGATTTCAAAAGTAATCTGGATTTAATTAGATATAAAATTGCAACATATAATTTTGGTTTCATGGTCAGCGCTATTAACATTTTCGAGTGGAATTGACAATAATAAAAAAAAAAAAAAAAGATTTCGACTTACTAGCAGAGTTGTATTCTTTACATGCAGGTGTAGGTGTGGGTGCTTGGGAATCCACAAGGCAGACGACCAAAGACAAGAGGGGCAATATTGTAAACTTCATGTTTATAATTTTTATCTTCTGAGAACTGTAACCTATGACCTAATTGAAATGTATAGATATTAAACATCACACAATAACCTATTAAAAATTATTGTCATAATGCCGGAGCTCTAGCTTTGTAATTATGCCCCCCAGAATGAAATGTCAAACTAATTCATTGATAAACACTGGTTCATGACACTTCAAGCTGCTATGAAGGAACCCTATTTACAAGCATAGATTACATTTCCATAACATAATATTAAGCAGCGATTCTTTTGTTAAATTCTTAGTCTTATTTCCCCAACAATGTGCTACAATTAATTACAATTACACATTTTCTTTCTGTCGCTTAATTTTCAGCTTTGTCAACACGAATGCCAAAACTACGCCTGGCTCATCATTTCTTTTTCTTGATCCAGAAAATATTTCCCTTGAATCTGAAATACCCAGCCCCCTCCTTCAACCACACATATAACACCAATCATTTAGCTTTGGTCGGAATCTTTATAGCGTTAACTAACAGTTGAAGTAGGTAACATTGAAAACATTTTCTTAAGGAGGTGAAGATTCTTTTTTTCACTATTAACATTTTGGGCAATGACCCAATGGGATATTAAATTATAATTTAAAAAAAAAACATCTGATAAAGCTAGAGGCCAGTTTCATGTGTCGGTCGGTAGGCGTATGTAGGTCAAAGTTTTCAATAGAGACAGATGTGATAAACCACCCACTATAGCAAAGGGTCCCAACAATTTTAGACCAGAGGTCCACATTCTTAATCTTTTTTTTTTTTACAGATAAGTGTCTTAAAGAACATCCTTAAACGTAGAGCAATTAAGGAATAAAAGTAAACCATTGTTAATGCAAAAAAGGGGGAAAGTACATATGGCATCCTTACGTCTTCGCGAGACGATTGAGTAGCTACAGAAACTTCATAAGATCTTTGAATTGCAGTCTCGGCTGCACTTCTCGAACAAGAGACTTGACTCCTGGTTAAATTTGGCCTTCCATAATACTCCTTTTGTTGCAAGAGCCTGTTTGACTCCTTCATACTCTGCTGTTTGCCAGCTGGAATGGTGCTCAGCGAGGGTCTCCAAATCGCTGACTTCCATGTTGGCTTACCTCATGCTCCTTTTGCAAACGTCCTTAAATCTCAGCCGCGGCCTTCCAATAAGTCTTACCCCTTGCGCTAACTCTCCATACATCAGATCCTTTGGTATACGGCCTTCCTCCATTCTCCTTTCATGGCCTAACCAGCTAAGGCGCCCCTGGCTTATAGCGGAGAACATGCTACACATTTTGGCACGCCTTGCCATCGAATACGCAAATTGCGACGCAGACATCTATGGTAGACGCTGATGAGTTTCCGCTGAAGACTGGCAAATGGGGTCCCCCCACTTCACTGGCGTATAGGAGGGTACTAAGCACACACGCCTGATAGACGCTTTCTTTTGTACTTTCAAGAGGCAAAGTGTAATGAAAAATAGCAAACTATTCTTCTCTTATTAGTCACACGAAAATGTCTTACCTCTACTAACAATGACACACGTAGAGGTTACATTTACTTACTGATGTTATGTCTTTATCATTAGACATCAAAGAGAAGATGTCACAGCTTTTTTCAACTGTAAAACTGATGTTCTCTTTTTTGAGTTCTTCTTCTTCTATATCTTAAGGGCCCACGATCAATTTATTGATCATTTTGGCTCCTATGGATGTAGATGGGATTTCCAATGTTTCTGTTACTGGTGGTGATGAGGAAATTTCACTGATTTCCAGTACCAGTTTGTGAGGGAATCATGCACCAGGGGTTTGATGGCTTGAGGCAATAGACACAAATGTGTCTAGTGTTGTCGCCTCAACCGTTCCTTTTGAAAGATTGTTCATGTCCCTGATTGTCTTGGGCAGGAATGAGCAGCTCCTATACTTGCTTCTTGTTGGTATGAGCCTGAATTGCCTGCCATGGCCTCGTCGCTGTCTATGGGGGAGAGGGACGAGTTTCTGTTTAATACTGGAACAGTGGACCAGCCCATTATTTATCTTGTACATTATGGAGAGCCTGGATTGTCGTCGTCGTTCCTCCAATGGTGACCAGCCTAGTGTTTCTAGCATGCTACCAACACTAGAGGTATTCCTGTAGCGGTTTAGGACAAAGCGTGCTGCCCGTCGCTGGACCGCCTCCAACCTGTCAATGCTCTCCTGGGTAAAAGATCCCAGACTGAAGATGCACAATCTAAAATCGGACAGACAAAGGCTTTATATGCTATTTCTTTCACACAGGAGTTGCCAATCTTTAGATTTCACCTTAAGAACCCTAGGGTATTGTCTGCTTGGTTACATACATTGTTAATATGCTCGTCCCAGCGGACCTCGCTTTGAATGGTAACACCCAGGTACTTTACGGAGGAAACTTGCTCAAGTATATGGCCGTGCAGTTGATGACGTCACAGACAGAACACGCAGTTTTCACGTGTACGTTTAATACAAAATACCTTTATTCCTCCCCCACCCACAAATCCCCCCCCCCAAAAAAAAAAACAACCCAATAGCTGTTGATTATTCACAAATGTTTATATCAAAAGGTAAATAATTTATCAAAGTTATTATTTATATTTACTTTATGCATTTAGATACGAACATATTTTAATTGGTAGCCCTCAATCAAATGTTGTCATCCCCATAGTACACAAACCCATGAGACCCTCTGCACTATTGCAAGGGCTCTCAAAGGTCGTTTTAAGTCACTACACATAACGGGATTAAATTCTTTTTTTTTGTGTGTGTTTATGAGTAACATTTTCCAAATTCTTGAAGTCAGAGCTCTTGTTTGTGTGTGTATGTGTGTGCGTGTGTTTGGCAAAAATAATTTAAATCTTATTTATATAACTTTTAAAAAAACAAATATTAATTTTAACAGAAACTTTATTGAAGACAAAGTGAATAATAAAATAATTAATAAAAAATAATGAAAGCAATAAAATACCCTAGTACACTTTTTTCTGAGGTTACAAAAAGGCAATGACCAACATTCGTTGATATTTTATTTAGTTACTTCAGTTTTGTAGTGTTCACATAGCCGAACCTATGTCCTTGTGACTTGTTGAATAAACCCAAGTCTAGTAACATGGATTGTTTCTATTTTCTATGTCAACGTAAAACGTATTACAATTCCTTATTTGAAATAGTTCATACAATTATAGAAATGTTAAATCAGTCCACCCCACAAGTCCGAAGGTTTTAAAAAAAAATTAAAACGCTCTCTTAAATTTTAAATTCATATATTTAATATTAAAAACTGCTAGTCATTTTTGTATCCACACGGTAAGTAATAAAATAAATAATAAAAACATTTCAGCTACTAAACTATAATCGAACAAGACACAGACTATATTACACTTACCCCACCCTCCAAGAGATGTTAAGCCGAGAAATCTATGGTAAAATCTAGAAATCGAATTTTTTATATTTTTTATTTTAAAAACCTTTGAATAAAACACTTGATCTAATCGAAAGACCCAGCTCATCAGTATCTCAGTTCATGTACGCCTTCCTGCCCACCGTTATATGATAATGTTATCTGTTTTCCCTTGTAAGAATGTATTTATTTCAATACGATTCGCATAAGCCAAAATATGTTAGTTGTCTCATTTAGAGTGATCTCAAACTGTTAGAATAAGATCCCCAATCATTGAACAACCGATTGAACAAATGATTGAACTAATGATGGAACACACGATTGAGCACATGATTGAACAAATGATTGAACAAAGGACTGAACACACGATGGAATAAATAGTTCATGACAAGCATAATTAACATGAGTAGAATCATCCCCTACTAGAAGTTTGAAAATCCGGTATGCTAATTGGACTATATATAGTTATTCGGCTAATACAATGTATCATTGTTTTGGAAAAGCCTAACATCACGGCGAATTATAATTTTGAGACCTACTACTCGATTCGATAATAAATTAGAGTGTACAACGATTATCCCAGAAGGCGGTGTTAGAAGAGTCTCAAACTGGTAATGTTAGGTTCATAGAATGGCTAACTCATTTTTATCAGGAATTTGTATTTCACTTGTCTTGCTTGCCTAATAGACTTTGATGACTGCGATCGTTTGAATTTAAAATATGTACTTTGATTTCATCGAGCGTGTTATCGGCCAACTGTTGATCAAATAAAATGAACAATATCTTTATAGTGATTACAAAGAGTTGTGTACGTGTCCTGTTACAAACAAACAGCCATGTCTGGCGTAGATTTGAATGTATTATTATTATTTATTTTATTTTTTTTTTGCTTCGTGACTTTCAGAACATGAATCTTAGAAACCCTTGATACGTGAAACATGATGAAAATGTATGACTTAAGTCTCAAATGAAATTGCCTGGTACAGACCCCAAGCATTCGCCGACCATCGTTAGCGTCTTCTCTTACAAACACAGTTAGTTTGAATGATGAGCTACTCGTCTAACATTTTGTTGGATGTCCTGCAAATGCCATCTTGTAAATCAAGAGCCGTGGTATTGTTGTTCTCGCTGAGGACCAATACAGAAATGACCTAATGGCTTTCCTTAAGGTACGCTGAAATTTTTAATTATGTAAATTAAATTATCATATTATAAAAATAATCTTGTAATATAAAGTAAAAGTAATAAACATTCATTAACCAAAGTTCATTGTTTTATATTTTTGCTTTCCAATTATTTAAAATATTATTTTAGATAGTAAATCGTGCCATCTTTTAACCATTTAACCATAGATTGCTCAGTTGTTTTTTTTATATTCATTCTGTCTTCGTCCATCAACTGTTGCTTGGAGCAATAACAATAAGGCGGAGATGGATGTCATGCCGGACACCCGGAAATGCTGAGTACTCCACTCTCGAAAGATAAATGAATCATGCAAATAAAGAAGGAAACCAGGTACGGTTGTTAAAATAATGATCTGCACATTAGCTCTATTGTCCTTTTTTTGTGTACATTTGTTAAGTTGACCATGAGTTGTGTACATCGAAAACTAACAAACAAGTGGTGCGAGCCATTACCAGAAACATTCACTGGCATTATACTCATGGTTTTCAATTTTTCCCATTGTGGGGAACAGATTATTCATTTTTTTTTCTACAGATACTTCCTGAATTGAAATACCCCGACTTGAAACTTCGGTTATGGTCTCCAAACGCCCGGACTCTGTACGCGGCTCATACCTTATAGCACAAACAAAAGGAACGTTACTTATTGTGTATTTGGGAGCTGACAGAGTTCTTTAACAGAGGCTCATCAGTCCTTCTATAATCTCGTCAATTCTTTCTAGGTCAGGAGTGGGAGCTGATGACAGAGTTCTTTAACAGAGGCTCATCAGTCCTTCTATAATCTCGTCAATTCTTTCTAGGTCAGGAGTGGGAGCTGACTGAGTTCTTTAACAGAGGCTCATCAGTCCTTCTATAATCTCGTCAATTCTTTCTAGGTCAGAAGTGGAAGCTGATGACAGAGTTCTTTAACAGAGGCTCATCAGTCCTTCTATAATCTCGTCAATTCTTTCTAGGTCAGGAGTGTAGGCTGACAGAGTTCTTTAATAGAAGCTCATTAGTCCTTCTATAATCTCGTCAATTCTTTCTAGGTCAGGAGTGGGAGCTGACTGAGTTCTTTTAAAAAGGCTCACCATACCTTCTATAATTTGGGTTATTCTTTCAAGGTCAGGGTTGAGAAACGTTTTGTGCAAGGCCGTGTGGGGGGGGGGGGGGGGGGGGGGGGGGGAAATTAATTTTTTTTT